CAAAGTAAACTGAAATAAAGTTCCCAGAGCATAATGCACTATTTAAAAAATGCACCAAAATGTGCCTTACCTTGTGAGTAATTATTTAAATTACTCACTAAATATAATCAATTTACACTTTGAGGGGGAATTACCAAAAAGCACAACCCACGTTTGGCACATTAACTATAAAAGGTATATCAGAGGTTGGTCACAGACTTTAAAGAAAAGACGAGATGTGCAAGAATAGTCCAACTATCTCACAATGTCTTTTGGTCCAGCTTCAGCATGTCTGTTGTGGTTTATAGCTTAGCAGGAGTAAAGTGCAGCACACAAGAATTGGATACCAGATTCAACCCACAAAACTATTATTAGCCATAATGGTTATTTTTAACCATGTGGCTTAATTTTAATTTTTTTATTGGCTTTCATATAACCAGTATACAGGTGAAACTCGAATAATTAGAATATCGTGCAAAAGTAATTGCAGTAATTGCAACTGCACCTCAAACCTGGTGACATACTTACATTTTTTGGTAGACTGCTATAACTGTTCAGTCTTTCCCAAACCTCCTTTTGGAAAGTGCTGTCTGGAAAGACTTCAGTGACGAGTCCAAGCTGGCAAGCTTCATGTGCAGTCAACTTCTTGTTGAACAGGAGAACCTCGGAAGCCTATTACAGAAACATATATCAATGTTCTGCAGGATCTTACACCTACTGTATGTGTATTTCATTACATTTAGTGTATTTAGTTAAAACCTTTGAAATATGTTGGAAAGATAGTAGTGCTGCAGCGGATCCTTTCCAATACAGATTACTCAGGGGGGATTTTAAATCCAAAAATAAATAAATATTTTTATAAAAGAAGAAAATTAATCTTTTTTTTCTATTACTTTCAGATTTGGTGACTCCTGTGTGAAGTATTCTTACAATTAGCTAAACCTCACAGCTACAGTTAACTAAAATGTATTTTTTAATATTGTTGCTGTAACAGCTGACAACAGCTCTGGGTCAGACGGACTTGGAGCTTTCCCAGCGAGGAGGAGAGAAAGTGACAGCCGGCCGAGCGCTGCGAAAGAAGAGCGCTGTGTTTGTGGGTTTATGGGGGGGGGGGCCCAAAAAAAAGTCTTGCACCAGGGCCCTTTGTTCCTTAGCTCCGCCACTGGCTCAGTGATCAAACATCAACGTGGGTTCTGGAATTTATACCCAATTATGGGCTCAATTATGGGCATTTGTGCTTGGAAGAGGTACTCTAGGATGTGTTTCACAAAAAAATATATGCGATATTCTAAATAGTTTTAATCAAATCCTTCAGTAGGTTTACCTTGCTTAGACCCATAATACGAGGGAATGTGTATGAGGAACAACCCTCTGGACTTTGCCCTAACTGGCTGAATGGAGTGTGGAAGGTAGCCTGCAAAAAAAAAAAAAAGTTTAACCACTTCTGGGTCGCAGTACGTCTATAGACCGTGGCCCGCAGAAGTGGTTAAAACAAGAACACGGCTGCTTCGGCAGCCGCGCTGTTGGTACTGCTTTTATCAGCAGGCGATTGCTGTATGACTTACAAGCAATCGCCTGCTGAGGACTACAAATCTCTGTGTCCCAGCGAGGAGGAGAGAAAGTGACAGCCGGCCGAGCGCTGCGAAAGAAGAGCGCTGTGTTTGTGGGTTTATGGGGGGGGGGGCCCAAAAAAAAGTCTTGCACCAGGGCCCTTTGTTCCTTAGCTCCGCCACTGGCTCAGTGATCAAACATCAACGTGGGTTCTGGAATTTATACCCAATTATGGGCTCAATTATGGGCATTTGTGCTTGGAAGAGGTACTCTAGGATGTGTTTCACAAAAAAATATATGCGATATTCTAAATAGTTTTAATCAAATCCTTCAGTAGGTTTACCTTGCTTAGACCCATAATACGAGGGAATGTGTATGAGGAACAACCCTCTGGACTTTGCCCTAACTGGCTGAATGGAGTGTGGAAGGTAGCCTGCAAAAAAAAAAAAAAGGAAGATTGTAAGAATGGTTGTTAGAAAGACATCATTTTATCAGCCACTAGCGCGCTAAACCGACATGCTTTCGGTGTTTGCCCACGGAGCTGAATAAAACGTATTTAAATATGTGTCATAATAGAGAAAACACAAAAGTCTGATAAACTAAGTTGAACACTTACCCTATCAGTGGCATAGACAACATCAAACAGACCCAATATGGTCACGGAGATGCCAACTGCAGGTCCATTCACAACCGCAATAAGAGGCTTTGGAAAATCAATAAATTTACCGACAAATGCTCTGGAAATGAAAAACAAAACAAAGTTAATCTATCTAATTTACATTTGTAATACTAATCATGCACATTCCTTGATTAAAGGATAACTGCATCTTTAAAGTCCCCTTTTTTTATTTAATAAAATAAAGTTAGAAAGTGCATATGTGTATGTATTATTAAATACTTGCTGCAGAAGAACTAGACCTGCCTGTAGCATCTGGAGCCCTTGCCTACCACATTACAGCTTGCTTGTGATAATAAGTGGTGGGGTCTCATCACATGCTTCACTATAAGCCGCCAAGATACACCTTCAGCCTCCATGTATTCCATTTGTATGCAGGGGAGTGAGCTAGTGGTGAGACCCAGAGATGACAACACAAAAAAAAAAAAAAAAATGTATGTAATGGAAGCGGGAAAGTTTTTACAGATTCCAATAGCATGTTAATGAGGGGAGAGGGAGGGAAGAGAAGGCAAATATAAGCAGACATTAGCTTTATCAATCCATTTGAAACTAAATCCAAGCTAGACGCATTTAATGCAGAATTTAGGGTCTAGTCATCCCACTCCTGGAGCCAGCAGGCAATGTTAAGGAGTCAGAGAACTTGGGATAATCGCAAGAAAATTAGGTGCTACATTCAGTTTTTCGACGTACAGTATATTGGCTAAATAGCTCCTGAGATATGTCCACTAAGAAAATATTTTATGTTCTAATCTATTAATAAAACGGACCAAAAGATGAATAGGGTTTACACACTCTAATATCAGTGCAGAGTCACTCGCCATCTTTTCTTTGCCTTCTGGTGGAATATTTGTGAAGTTATTCAAGTCATTTCCACTGCAATAATAATCACCATGTCCTATAAGAAAAATGATAAACATTACTGTAAAAGTCTGAAACAAACAAAAAAAAAAAATTTAAGGGGTTCATTTATAAAAAATTTATGTTGGGCGGATGCCACATCCACGGCACTAGCACCCCTAAAATTGGGCTGATGAGTATTCCCTATACGTAAGCACCGATATCTCGGGGCACTAGTACTGCACAAACACTTTCATAAATTAACCCCTATGTATGGTCAGTTCAAAGAATTTAGCCTTGAGAACGGTGGGCATTTATGTCTGATACATTTACAGGGTTTTTCACAAAAGGGTGAAGAGTTTGTAGAAGGCAAGAGAAGAGAACAATCTAGGACAACATAGCTGAACTGGAAAGTGAGCTGAATTGGAGAATGTTTCCAAATCGGCTATTTTGTCCTAGATTGTGCTCTTCTCCTGCCTTCTCCAAACTCTTCACCCTTTTGTGAATAACCCTGGAAGTCTTGCAGCCTTCAAATAAACTCTATGCTCTGTGCATTGTTCGCCATATAGCTAGAAGAGTATAATACTACCCTTATGCATAAACACACAGAAGCTCTGTCTGAACACCTACAGCAGTATGTTTTTCTTTTTAGAATGATGGCAGAAGGAACATCCAGAAAGCCATGCATTGTTAAGTGTATATTGTTTACACTACACAACTGTCTAGTCTTTAAATGTTATAAATGCCCTTTGTATTTTTCCTCAATGTCACTTGATATAGGTGAAGGCACCTCATTGGCAGTGAAAAGGTGTGCGTCTCTGCTTTGGACTACAATTAATGCTACAAAGGTTTAATTAATAAAAGCTTACTATAATTATGAGTTAATTGCAGACATAAATTGCACACTATGCTCTAGCTTCTTTAGAGTTTTATGTATTTTCAAGGTCAATAGCATTATCATGATAGGCTTGTTTTATTAATTAGTGATAACAGGGGTTTAACTGTTAGGACTGCAGCTCCCCCTGGGCCCATGGGGTCAGAGAATATAAACAAAGGTAGAGTTCCCCCTCAATAAGCAGCTACAGTATATGCAGGACCAAGTCATGTTAACTTAAAAATGACTGAACTGGGTTGCAACTAAAAAATTGAGGCAGCAGTTATAGTGCTTGCTTTTGCCTATCCATTGCTTCCCTGACATCTAACCTATCACAAGGTTTTTGAGAACTGAAGAAGCAGGAAATGTTCACCGGTTTTACAAATTAGCCTTTGGAGGATCGTTAAGGATTTTTGTAAACAAGAGGCTTTTCACATCAATGAGACAAATGGAGAACTTGTGAAATTTGAAAAGGAGCCTGAAGTACCATCTGCTGGCAGAGCAGATGATGCAAAATATTAATATGTAATATTTCATATACACCTGACTAAATAAAATTATAGTTACTTTTTTGTAAGTCCTGACCATAATGAAGAAATAAATCATGCACAAAACAAACAACACATTTCCTTTTAGACAGTAGAAACTAAACTATTTATAATCTGTGGCATGTTATATTCCTTGTTTAAGGTCCTCCTACAGTTTTTGTCCCGCCCCATCTATAGAGCTGTATAGAGGTTTCACTGTTCTCTATTTACAAGCAGAACTAACCATAACTTATTTCACACAGCTATACCATTACAGCCTTCCATTGTCATTTAATTTGTGTGACCGTAATACAGTTTGAGATATAACATGGAAAGGAAAAAATATTCATTAGGAAGCAAAGAAGTCTCTCTCTAGCCTGTATACATAATACCAATCACTAATAGAGTGTGTAAAGATACAATGCAATACGAGAATAGCTTCATTTTTCTAAAGGGTTATTTTCAAAACCAAACCGAACATTCAATTAATTATATTTGCATTATAATGTGCAACACAATGGTCAGCAAAATGAAACGTATGCAGTATGAATATTAAAAAACAAATAAAGTACCAGTCAAGACTGTAATAACAGAGTCATCTTTTGCAGCTTCATCTAAGGCCAAACCAATTTCTTCATACATCTGGGGGAAAAAAATTAACAGAAACCATCATTAGGAACTAGCCAAATACTTGGCCATGTATGAGAGAGTTTATACATTTGCCTTGCGAGACTGAAGTAGAGGCCCAGCATTTGCATCATGACAAATTAGGGACAAGGGCCGGGCCTTTTGTAATAGCCCAGTTTATTCATCTCCCGACGGCCAGTGCGGGCACACATACTGTTGCTCGTGAGCCTGTGCATGGGGACACGGCAGGCGTGCATTAGAGTGTAGGTGTGTGCGCTTGCAGGTGTTCTGCAGCATTTGTATCAATATGGAATGTCAAGCACAACGTTTCGGGCCCGCGCATGGTCCTCTTCATCAGGTTTAAAATGACCATTTGTTTATTTAGAGCCTGATGAAGGGGACCCTGTGCTACCCAGAAACATTGCGCTTGATGATTGACAATATGTGCCAATAAACAGACGTTCCTTTTGACACTTTACTGCGATGTGCTGGTGACACCATAATTAATCTCTGATCCAAGTGGCGACATCCGCAGTCATTTCAAGCACCCATCTTAGATCTGTAAGAAAATAAATCAAGGCAACTGGACTTGCTGTATTTTTCTTGAAGACGTTTCACTGGTCATCCGACCAGCTTTCTCAATTCTGAAGTGAGAAAACTGGTCGAATCACCAGTGAAACGTCTTCAAGAATGTCTAAGAAAAATACAGCAAGTCCAGTTGCCTTGATTTATTTTTCTACAGATATACAATGACCTTGATGAATGACAACCTTTACAGAGATAAGCACCCATCTTGTTTTGGGATATCCGGTAAGGAGTGTGGTAGGATATCTGAACATACATGCAGTAGCATGTATATGACCCGGCTTGCACCCCTGACCTGTCTAAGGACCTTTGCCTACCTGTTGTGGCTTTGGCTTCCTTACTTGACTTTGTTTATTATCTTCTGCCTGGTATTTTGGCTACTCGGCTGCTACTAGCCTCAGCTTGTGTTGCTGACCCTGTTCCTGTCTTCTGATCTGGCATCTCGCTGCCCAGTTGTTACGGTCCTCAGCTTGTGTCCTTGACTTTGATCCGGTCTTCTAGTACCCTGCTGCCATGCTGCTTCTGACCTCAGCTGTTGTCTTGGTTATGTTCCAGTCTTTTGTTCTGGTACCCTTGTGTTTTTTCAGCTGGCTCCTGCTCTGTGATCAACAGCCATTTGGCCTACATATCCAGCAGCCACAGAGATCTAGTACTGCCTGCAACACCAGCACTCGTGAATGGTGTTCTCACACTCCCTGTCATTGCTTCCAGAGGTGTTGGACATTAGTTCACCCCTCATCAGCTCAGTTTATACCAGGTATGCAATAAGAAAATATATGAAATATCAGGTGACATTTCATATGTGCTTGAGAGTCGGGCTGCCATAATGGAAGTGTACAGTGGTGCTGACTTGTTAGAAATGGTGCTGACACTTCTATGTTTTCGTGCATAAATTTAGTGCATTCTTGTAATAACAGAGTCATCTTTTGCAGCTTCATCTAAGGCCAAACCAATTTCTTCATACATCTGGGGGAAAAAAATTAACAGAAACCATCATTAGGAACTAGCCAAATACTTGCCAGCCAAAAGCTGGCACAACATGGCACTACCCGCTGCTATAGGTCTAGACAAGAAAATGCCAGCTGGTTCATAAAACATCCCTTAGAAACAAGCAGAACATTTACTAATGGATGACAGGGCGTATTCAGCTGATGCAGTGTACCCCCCAGCAGTGTTTTCTTTGTGCTGCCCCAAATCTTGCCTAAGATATCTTCCCCACACCAGATGAACATGTGAAGGATGGGTATGTAGGTTCTGGATGGGCTTCTACAGTTTGTGCCTTTGTGAATTAGATCTAAGTAAAAGGTCACTGTAATTAAGCCACTGTCCTCTGAAAATTGTAGGATACAAGAAAAGTAGACCTTAAATGTATAAAACCCCACATTTATTAGATTAAAAAAGTACCCACCAGGCATATATTACTTTATTAAAAAGATTTAAGAATTATATCTGAACAGCATAATCTATTTATGTGATCCATGTAAAAGGTCCGAAGCCTCATTTTAGAAATGCCCTTTGGGTCAAATAAGTGTAATTAAAAAAATAATGTTCCATTTAATTGAAAATAAAAAAATATATAAGGAGGTCACCTTGGACTTCCATGATTACCAAAAATGTCAGGATGCCACATTGTGATTTTATGCATCCATGGAATTCCTATATAAAATCGCTAATAACTTTGCCCTTGGGCTAATAAATTATACGGAAATAAATGAGGTAATGAAATATGTAACTGATCGTTGTAAACTATCCCCTCTATTCAACAGCCCCATCCATTTTCATTGGCATACATTACTATGAAATCCCATTTTACACTCTTTACTTGATATCTTCCAGGATAAGGAGAGTGTTCACAACACTTTTCAAAAAAAGCAAACTGGGGATATACAGTATGCACTAATGAGAATTTAAGACCGTTGCCTACTTTTTTTTTTAAAATCAAAGGTATTACCTGCAAGGTGATTGCATTTTTCTTTTCTGGTCTATTCAGGAATATCTTTGTTATATTATCTTGAGAAAACACCTCTAAAGTCTCATATTTCTTATTGGCACTTGTTGATGTTGGGTCTTTCACAGGCAATTCAGCAGAGATGAGACTTGAAACAAGTTCTATGTAAGATTGCCTGGCTTTTTCCTGGAAAAAAAAAAGAAAGAAGGAAAATTTTATTCCCTCGCATTGTCATATCAAGATCTGCTACTAGATGTAATTACAGAAGACATCAACACTGCTCCTCTAACAGAAAATAGACAGTTCCTAGATGGTTGGACTCTCAAAGTTCTGGGGCCGCCCAGAGCCCCCCCAGTTCCTTTTCGTCATCACTATGTTTCTGCTGCAAGTTGATAAATCTAACAAGACATTGGGCATGCTACACACTGAAAAAACAACTAGACGCAGTAAGAAATAAAGGGACACCAAGATTATTGACGCCTCTTTTGAAAAGAATAACAATCACTAATATATGGGACACTAAAGGGTATTTCACATAAAACCAAGTCATTATGACACACATTGGTGCAACTGAGGTTATAAGAACGAAGAGGTAAATGGATGAGCTTATGATATAGGTATACAAACTTATGAATCACTATGGATACTAAGCTGTTACACTCAGATTATATCTATCATCACGGTTATGTTTTAGATATTGGAGCTTCCCTGGACCCTTTGTGCGTCTGTGGCTCCGCCGTATGTTTCTTTCTGGGGGTGATGAGAGTTGCTATTGTCCCCCTGGTGTTAGGTCCCTCCATGATACTTGACCCCTAGGTAAGTGGCTGTACAATTCAATCATACTAAGAATAAATGTATATAGCTGAATGGAAACATTTAAAACTGGAAAATATGATTATACAAATGTATTATGAAATGGCATATAAACAATGTATCATGTATTTACAAATAGATTTATACAGATCCCCCTGAGGAAGCCTACGAGTTTAACGCGTAGGGGACTAACAAAGCAATACAACACTGCATATGAAAATCAAGGAATTATGAATATACATAGTGAAATATGAATTATATATAAAATATTATGAAATGTGAAAAGAACTAATAATTTTAGGGTTATAAGTATCATGTGTATATATATGAGCATTGTTTTTAATATTTATAATTATGCAATAAATCTTTTATATGAACATCAACAAAATTGTACGAATTATAACTATATGAGTACCCTCAAAAAAACCCTGCACAACCAAGGTTGTATAATGTGTAGTTTTTTGACTAAGTTTGGGGTGAGGCCTCTAATCACCTGGGGGAGTACTTTGGGAAGTGCCTGTTTTGGGAAAACAAAATACACGTGTCTTCTTTCCCCCTTATTTTTTTAAATTACTTTTTGCAAGAAAATATTACCAGAAGAAAGCCTTGTTTGTCCTAAATAAACAAATATACAGTATGTATAACTTTATTATCTTAACCCCTTCGTGACTGACGACATACAGTGTACGTCGCCAGCATCGGGGCTGTTTAAACAGACTCCCGGCGGCGTTTAAACTTGAAAAGCCGACTGTCGGCTTTACAACAGAAGCGATTCTGGCGACTTACCTGTCGCCAGATCGCTTATGTGTCCCGTAGAAGGGGCC